AAAGCCAGCACAGCTCAGATAAGGGAATAAAATAACAAGAATCCAAGACTACATATTTGCCATGAAAGACAAGAAAATATTTCATTTTGTGCTTTAGTCATGGGCAAGAAAGAATATAGGTCCTGTCAGACATCCCTCAGACAGAAGAGAAATACTAGGAACTGATTTCATTTCTGTCGTATAATTTATTTTCTCAGCAAAGAGATTATTTTTTTTGGTATTTACTCAATGTAGAACTTTTCCACTAAAGCAATTTCTTTTTCAAGTATCAACCTGAAAAAGCTTTTCTACTGGTTTATAAGTATGAAATAAACACTACCTTAATGTTTAACTCTTTCTGTCTTCTCTTCATAAACTTAGGAGAATTAAAGCAGATAGAAATTCACCCTTATTTGATGCTGCCAGAACAAGTTCTGCAACACAGCATCAATTTCATTGCATGCACAGACATTATCACACTTCTGCCTAAAACTTCAGCTGAAAAATGGTGCTAAACCAGCAACACAATTTGCATCCTTTTCAGGGAGGAACTGTAATGAATATTAAGCTTTACTGAATACAAGTGCAGAACAAAATTGTAACCATGAAGGATTTTATACTCCTCATTGTCTACTTCAGACTTAGAAATCACTCATCACAAATCAGGATGATGCAATGTGGTTCTGTAAAACACGTTACATGAAGAAAATGAGCTGATTTCCCTTACTGACTCACCAGTCTCCATTTCTGTCGCAGACAAACTAGAGAGGTCTGGGTTTGCTTTAATGTATCTGAATAATTCCAAATTGATTTACAGTGAGACATAAATGGGTAAATACAATATCCAGCATTCGTTAAAGTTACAGTTTTAGAAAGACTAACAAGTCTCATTAATGCATATTCTCATTCTTAGAGGCACTATCAACCATGAGACAAAGCTTTCCAAGCACCATGGGTTGACTGTATTCCATCACACAGCCAATACCATGAAATCTGGCATGCCAGAAAAAGGTTTCATACTCACACCCTGTAGTTAAATACCCTAATTTGGGCCCCCGAATCTGGCACCTTTATAAAGGGAAGAACCAACCCAGTAACTGCTGAATGAGCTGTGAACAAGCCTCTAACCTGGTGGCCCTGCTTGGAGCCTGCCACTTCCAGCACGTTCCAAGCAGCTTACAGAGAAGTAAAACATGGCTGTAGGAACCATTTAAGGGTTTGAAAAACTGTAACAACATAAAATTTAAAGTATCTTGATTGTCTTCCCCTATCTCTTACACCTCTGTACAGTATACACAGAAATGCTCCTTGACAGAGAAGTAACACTGTAACATCACTAACAGTAGCTGACCACTGTGAAAAACGAGGTTCACATATTTTTCTTATAGAATTTAGAAGTTTAATAAAAAGACAATTGGGAGATAAAAATAAAGTACACAGATACGGCCGGGTGTCTCTGCATTCAGCCAAGAGAGCACCCCTTACTAACAAAGGATTGTCCCTTAAAAACAGAACCCTACTTCGTATCCATAAATTCTCATGCATATTCAGACATTCTTCTTAGGATCTTTGGTGTTCTTCTGTTTAGTTTTCTCTTGCCCCCTTCCCAATAGATCAATCTTATTGGCGCCATCGAGATTTACATTCCCTGATACCAGAAATGCAATCAACTCCTCCCCCAGAGTTCTGGTCACTGCTGTCTTCATCTGGATAAGATAGTTTACGAATGCAGGGCTTCTCTAGCTATTTTTTCTCAGTCTTTGGGTTATACAAACAAAAGTAGTTTTTGTTTTAATACTATGCCATAGCCCAACATACATGTATTATACCACAATTTCTAAGTTTCATCAATAACAGAAATAAAGAAAACTATATTAATACAACAAAATTTTCCAATCTTATACACATAGCATTCTTTTTAATATTTGCAAAAAGCCAACCATATAATATGTATCTATAACAAGACCCAGCTCACATCTGGAGCCAGCAGTGTCCTGTCAGCGCAGGGAAGCAGCCCAGCATCCTGCAGTGATGCTGACCAGCAACGCTTTCATCGGTGCTTCGTGAGAGGACCTCAGCTCCACAGCCACAGCCCCTGCTTCAACTCAGCTGGCAAAACTGTTTCTTGGAGAAACAAAAGCAATAAAAGTCAAAGGTGCTTCTAATGATAAAAAATGCTGATGAACAAATCAAGGTGATTAGGTAGTTTCAATCACACCCTCCTTTGTGTTGAGTTCACTGCCTGCTGTGGAACCGTTAGAAATCGTAAAGTTTACTTCTATTTTTTGTGTCTTGCAAAACTCAGCTATTATCTCACTCACCTCTCTCAAGGATTAAGATTACAGCTGGGTGTTCTCCCCTTTCATTTTAGAAATGAATATAACTTGCAGAAGATATTCTTCTTTTATCTTGTCTTGCTAGATCTGTGTACAAACAAGCTCATATTGTCCTCAGCTGATTGAGTTTGTTGAACAGACAACTGTCAAAAGCAGAAATGAACAGATAAAATGTTCTTCAAATTTGAACTATTACCTGTGACACTCAAGTGAGGTTACTGTACTGTTCTTACCTCATACTATAAAAAATGATTGTCCAAAAGTCTCCTGCAGAAAAGAGTAGTGGAAAGAGTAGTTTTTGGAAAATTACATCCTCTCTAGAAATTCATACACAGAAAGTGGGAGTCTGTTTTCATTAACAATATTCTGGGGGTGCTTGACATCCTTTTCATCTGTAAAAAGCAAACAAAACAAATGGGGATAGTTTTGAATCAACCTTCATTTTGTTATTTGTTCCTCAGTAGCATTTCACACAGAAACAGAGACTTGCAGTTTAAGTAATTCTGATGATGAGTGAACAAGAAACAGTTTCCTACATGTAAATCAGATTTGCCTTTTAAATGGTTTACTTCTTCCAACTTGTTATTTAGCAGCATGTCAGTTTTGTAAAAAATACTAAAAATTAGCTGACATTAATTGTGCTTTGCTTGAGCAAAACCATTTCTTTTTTAAGAAATGTTATTCAAAGAAATGTCCTTTAAGTCTCTAAAATCAAAAGGTTAATTTTGTTGTGCCTAAAAAGGCTTTAAGGTTATTGAAATTGTTAGTAATGGAGTGAAAAAATGGTAAACAGAACTGGCTTTACAGCTGGAAATTTCCTTCATAAATCTGGATGCAGTTCTTGCCTGGTGCCATACACAGTACTTTTTTTATACAAAAAAGCAAACCTATCCTGTCTCAAAGATTTAATTGATCAAATATCTGAGAAGATACTGAGCAAAAATGCAGTTAGGGTTTGGGTTTTTCTGATACATAAGCTCATTTTTATATGACTGAAATCGCTTTGGTGATTTTTATTCTACAGTGTAATGCTTAGTGGGCTTATGGACCACCCACCGAAATAACAATTTGAAGTGAAGGTTTTGGCTGTGGGAAGCTGTGCTTTGTAATAGCACGCAAGGGCCCTTAAAAAGTTTTTTTTTTAGGCAAAAAAGAAGTTTTGCTTGCTCTGTGATTATACTACAGATGGTCTAAACCTCGTGTGATTAGCAACAAAAATTCTGGTCAAGTCTGCTAATCTTTTCCTGTAAAATATTAACCTCTTCTATTAAGAATAAATGGCAATACATTACTTTATAGATATATTTTCTCATTAATTTAATACACTGTCAGGTTTGTGGTGCATGTTCTAAATTTTCAAGTTTATATCACCAAATAGTTACTGTTATTTCTGAAGTTCATTACTCTCTAGTGATTTCTCAATATTTTGCTGCTTTCCTTAGCATTATTGCTGGTTGTGAGGCACTCTTAATTTGTTATCAGTATTAGCTTCTTAATGAAACTCTCTTCAGGTAGATTTTAATCTAGATATTTGAAGATGCCAGAAAAAGGATGAAATTAAGGTCAATTTTCATGGGAGCTTGGGAAATTTTACATATTGTCTTTTAAATCTGCAATTTTCTTTTAATTTAGAAACAAATTTGGATGAGGCCGCATTGATACATTGTGATGCCTACAATTTTTTTTCCAAGTCTTGTGAAAGAGAACTTGATTTGATGACCTTACTGACAGTTAATTACTGCTAGTAGATTATTGAGGAACCACTTCATAAAATAAGCAAGGAAGTCTACAACTCTCTCTAAAAGACTGGTTTTGATGTGGGTAAAAACAACTTTGGACTATTCTGAAAACACAGACAAGAGCAAGAAATTTTGCTTTTCATTAAGGAGAATGCTGATTTCTCTTCTTAAAAATGTGGATAGTTGATATTCATTTTTATATTTTGATGATAGATGACTAATAGGAAATGTGTTATCTTAACACTGGTTTACACAATCTCTGAAGCACTCTGCATTTTAATATTTTTGAGGGTGACATAATTGACAGATGGAAGTAGCAGCCAGCCATAGATCAAATCTAATACCAGGACACCACGCAAACTTCTGTTGTTGGTTTTCATTTTTTGGTAAAGTTACAATAATTAGAAGGCTGGAGAAAGAAAGAATGTGAAACTACTGAGTAAAACATTTCAGACAACAGACATGGAATATCATTGTTTCAACCAAACATTTGAATTTCAAATTTCAAAGCAACTATCTGAAGTTTAATTTAAAATTCTAATTTAATTTCAAGTTACTGTGCCCATGAACATACTTTTAATTGAAATGTATACTGGGATCTAAAAATAAGTCATTTTCCACATTTCAATTCACTTCATAAAAAAACAGTTTATGCATTTTACAGTAATACAGAAGTACAATCAGTAAATCAAAGTATCAGAATTTGATTTTTGTAACTTTTCTAAGTGGCAAACCTCTCAAATAGCCTGTTAGTCAGTCCAGGATGACACAATTCCTGGACCTCTATGCACTGTTATTCACTTCAGCAGCTTCACAAAATTTAGAGACCTGTTTTGTTGCGTTCCACAGCTGCAGGATCAAGTCCAGGGAGGTTATGGATTCTGGTGACCAACATGGGACTCAACGAGACGGGTCTCTGTTTGGTTAATGTCAGGAAACCATTTATTCAACACAGGAACAATGTGGAGACTTTTGTGGACTCCTCGCTGTGGAGGAGGAGGGCACATGAGACGACAATGCCGCGCGACTGGGGTCTGGTGCCAAAATTGTCAAAGCAATACGCACAACTCTTCTGCCTGCCGCCGACGTTCGGGAAACTCACGGCGGAGCGCGAATGGCGGCCGCGCCCAGACACAAGTTGCTGCCGCGACGTCAGCGCCACCTCGTGTCTACAACCAGCCACTGCCGGGAGCTTGGGACTTGACTTGGCAGCAGCAATAAAAACAACGCTGATGACAACACACCCTGTTCGAATTCCTACGGGAGTTTACGGCCCAATAAAGATTAGGGGACAAGTATATGGAGGACTTTTATTGGGGCGCTCCTCGATTTCTGTGATGGGCCTATTTGTTTTACCTGGAGTCATAGATGCGGACTATACCGGAGAGATACAAATTATGGCATATACGCTCTACCCTCCAATTACTGTTGAAGCCGGTCAACGCATTGCCCAATTTATACCACTGCCACAAACAACCAAAGGCATTCAAACATTGATGCAAGGCCCTCGGAATAATCAAGGATTTGGATCATCAGGGATAGCCATGCTCACAATGGACTTAAACAGCAGACCAAAAAAGAAAATAACATTGAAATATGCTGAACAATCAGTAGAACTTTGGGGCTTGTTAGACACGGGAGCAGACACCAGCATAGTATCTCCGGAGTATTGGCCTAGCAGTTGGCCATCCAGACAAACCATGGATACAGTGACCGGAGTCGGGGGATACACGCTAGCTAAAAGAACACCCCCTATACAAGTGATCATAGATGGGCAAACATTAGTGGCTGTGTTGTCCGTTGTCCCTTTACCTCCAACAGTACAGTGTTTAATAGGAAGGGACATTTTAGTCCAGCTTGGAGTTGTTCTATCTAATGAGCACCCTTTGGAGTAATTGCCATTGCTTGGACTTTCCCTATTCCACTTACCTGGACAACCGACAAACCAGTGGTGGTTAAGCAATGGCCTCTAAAAAGGGAAAGTTTGTTGCAAGCACATCAACTAGTCAGAGAACAATTTCAACAAGGTCATCTAAAATTGTCTACTAGCCCATGGAATACTCCTATATTTGTGATTAAGAAGAAATCTGGAAAGTATCGTCTTTTGCATGACTTGAGAGCAGTAAATGATCAAATGGAAGCTATGGGAGCATTGCAACCAGGTCTTCCGAATCCAGCTATGCTCCCACAACATTGGGCCCTTCTGATCATCGATTTAAAGGACTGTTTTTTCACTATCGCCCTCCACCCACAAGATACAAAGCGATTTGCCTTTACCTTGCCTGCAATTAACAAAGGGGAACCGACAACACAGCCACTAATGTTTGCCCATCTATGATCACTTGTATAGGGGGTGTTCTTATAGCTAGCGTGTATCCCCCGACTCCGGTCACTGTATCCATGGTTTGTCTGGATGGCCAACTACTAGGCCAATACTCCGGAGATACTATGCTGGTGTCTGCTCCGGTGTACAACAAGCCCCAAAGTTCTACTGATTGTTCAGCATATTTCAATGTTATTTTCTTTTTTGGTCTGCTGTTTAAGTCCATTGTGAGCATGGCTATCCCTGATGATCCAAATCCTTGATTATTCCGTGGTTGCTCAAGAAAAAATACAACAGACCGCACCTTGGAAGTACCTGGGATGGACTATTACCAATCAAATTGTGCGTCCACAAAAACTGCAGCTCTCAACAAAAATTGTCACTTTAAATGACGCGCAACGCCTACTTGGTGATCTTCAATGGTTGAAACCCATAGTTGGCATCCCAAACACCTTACTAAACTGCCTTCGCCCACTGTTGAAGGGAACAGATCCCAGTTCGCCTGTCACGATTTCCCCTCAACAGAACAAAGCAATCAAAGATATTCTCCAGTGTATAGAAGTAGGTTTTGTTTCCCGTCGCGATATTGACTTGCCCATTGACCTTACTATATGGAATACCTCAGAACATCTTCTCGGCGCTCTTACACAATTGCAG